AAGTACTACTAATCCCATATCTGCATTTCCCATAAATATGCTAAATTCCTCTTGATATGCAATTTTTTTGTCAAGGCGCTCTTCCCCCTCCAACCCAGCTTAAATAGACGCTCCAAGCCTGGGGTTGTTTCATTCAGACGCTGTCTTCTCGACAGACCTATTCTTCACCTGAGGACGGCTGCTTGCGTTGTGGCCGAAACGTCGTGAGAATTATTTTATTATGTTTTATTTTTATCATTTTATTATTTCCATTCTACGTGACTTTACCGAAAGAACCAAGAAAATGTACCCCCTGCACGTGCTGCAGGCTCCAGGTTAAGCAGCAGGGTCTGAACAGCTTCTAAAAGTGGGCACTCATCACCAAATCTCCTCCATGTATAACTTGGTTAGTCATTCGCGTCGTTGTGGAGAATATTAATAACACGATGGTTAAGCAGACAATATGAACATAACTTGGTTAACATCCTTCCATTGTATTTGCCAATATCAGCATGTCAGCATGGCCAAAACCGCCGATACATGAATACCCAAACACTTGGACGACATAAAATACAAGTTTAACATATTGTAGACATGCAAGAAGCCAGTGCCCTATCTACAACTTAACCCACACAAAGACAAAGATCCCCCGTATAGCTTGGACAGACTGTTGGGCCCAGTGCTGTTAGCGAGCACCTACCAAGGCCGGCACAGCACACGAGGGGGTGGGCAACATCACGCCCAGCCGCCTTTGTCTCCCCAGTGGCGATGTTTAATTACCCCCACCAGATACTCATTCGAGGCTGACTCGACCTACAGGAGATCCACACGCGCACAGACGCTCCTGGCTGCTGATGCAAGCGCTCACCTGGCCGTACGCCCATGTACGCCTAGTCACGCCAGCTTCCTCTGTGCGCACGAATCTCTGTGTGAGCACGTAGATGTAATGCTGGACGAGACACTCGGTGTGAGTGAAGCTGCAGGTCTCTGGGATCACTCCCTCCCCGAAATTGCGCTACTTTTTGGTGTAAAAGTCAACAGCGGAGAATCCTCATTCCCATCTGTTCCTATTCACAAGATCTCCTCTCCTTCTTCTCAGCGCCTACGCCTCTATTCTATCCCTGCATGTGCATCGATTCTAGTGATTTTTTTCCCACTGCGTCGAGCAACCGGTAAATATTGAGGGATTGACTTTAAACTGGGACGCCTACGAAAAAGAGCTCATCGGATTTCTCCGGGATAAATATTTTGAAAACCTAACCCCACAGGCCAACCAAACCCCCACTCCATGAACCCTACCACCACCCCACTAACGCTACCACCACGCCACCCCTACCCCCACCGAGACTCACAAAGCGAAGCATGACGCCCTGGCAGGCGTGATGCTTGAGCAGACCTTGACACTCCGCAGTCCACGAGGGCCTGCACTGTAACCAGAGAGAGAGGATAATCAGACACAGAGATCCCTCCACTCAACCCAGCACTCACCCTGTGTCTCCAGCACTCACCCCAAGATTCTTATTTTACAGGAACATTAATTTATCATTTTTTATTAATAAATAAAACAATATCATACGGCCAAATACAAAAAGTCGTGGGACAGTCAAGAGAGTATTGTTGTAAATTTACAACATGAGTGTGTGCATCCACATTTCAAGCAAGCAGCAGCATCAGCATTCAAGATCACAAACAGGAGCATAAGTAGCATCATTGACACCAATTACCAAAAGTAATGCATGTGTAGTGAGTCCAACTGAGTCGATGACGTTGTCTTGGGAGCAACACTATTTATTACATCAACTCAACACAACATAACGTAACCTACACTTGGGTGTTGAATGCCCGTCTAACCACGCTACGGCAGAACTGGACACGGTCCCGCTATCCCGGCCCGGACCACGAGCTGGGTCCCGGACCGTGTGGCTAGAGGCTTCTTCAACCCGACGTGTATCTTCACTCACCAACAACCCGAAGAACCCCGAGCCCCTCACGGGGCCCCGTTATATCGGCGTGGGCTGGGGCTGGCTCCGTCCCTCACCCCGCCCACCTTCTAGATCTCTCGAGCTCCTTCCACAGAAGGCTCCCGAAAGCTCCTCTATACCACGTGACCACCCAGCGGCCCCCGTCCGCCGGTGGTCCCCCTTCAATATCATCCGGTCACGTGTCGGCAGGTCAACCAGCGTATCATACCCCAACGTAACCCTGGCTGGCTGACACTCTCGCTCCCTCACCGGGAGCCTCCACTGCACACTGTACGTGATGTTTCTGCGCTAACTAGCGCTCACCCAAGCCCCGCTATGGCTGGTACTATGCCCAGTAACCGGGCTGCACATAATGACAACATATTATCTGCCGTTGCCTCGCAAGCCTGGCACACAGTGACATTCGCAGTCACTACACATCAAACAGTTTATGTTTATAAACATAATTTTTGTCGTCTATTGGTTTGTGTTTCTCCCTTGTGATGGGACTTTGCAGGATGAACGTTAAGATTTATAAGGGCACGGGGTGACCAATAAGGTCTGAATTGGTCTGTAATAAGGTAGGGCACTGATAAGGGGTTGACAGGTATGGTGTCTGCACGTGGATGCACGTGTGTGCACGTGGAGGATTCGTCACTGCAGAGCCTCGGCGCGTGCAGCCTCGATCATCACAGCTCCCCGACTAACGTGATGTTAACATTGTCGATGTTTTCAGGGGGACATGACTTTAGGCACAGTCTATCCCAGTCCACAGTGTAATGGAGCCACGTTCCATCGAGCTTTTACCGAATTATCCAAAGCACACACACACGGCCGAAGTAGGAATCCTGCTGCCATACCTGGGGCAGTGCCGGATTATCCTTGTGTAATAAAGGACTCTCTCTCAGATGTCGATCTCCGTTGTCCTTTATTGGGTTCGTAGAATCTCCGTACCACGGCGTCTCGCTCAGGCCCGCGTCCCGCTCGACGACCTCTCCACAGCCCTCGGCTGCTCCGTTGTGCAGTCTCCCTGCTGCTCCAATATGCAGTCTCCCTGCTGCCCCGTCAGGCAATCCTTGCAGCCACACCGCTGCCCCGCTATCTAGCGTCACTGCTGCCCCTTTCACAGCTGCCCCGTTAGCTCTCTTCGTCTGACACCGATGGCTGTCGGTGTCGACGTCTCCCACCACGTGGCGACCGCACCACTCTCTCCGTCTTGCCCAGCGTGGCCTCCTCGTATTTCACTCCGTCTCAACTCCCCCTTCCCCTTCCGGTTCTCTCCCTAAATCCTCTCCCCCACGTGACCCTAACTCCACCCACTCCCCACGTGACTCAGACTCCGCCCCCCCTCAATCCTTGCTCGCATTACACTTATAGCAAAAGTGTGCTACATGTGCTACGGGCCCCGCACTTTCAAGGGCCCCGTGCTAAATGCTTTCAAGCTATCAATTCCGGTTCAGTGATTCTGCACTTGCGTTATAACCATAGTACTATACCGCCTTCAACTTTTATGAACGACTGGGTATTTAAGGTTAGCGATTTGTCGTATTAGCTGGCTGTATAGCAAATGAAAAAATACAATTACTTTACTATGCAAGTAAAAAAATCTGTGTTTTAATATTTATGTGGTTGTTTTGTTTAGGGCCCCTTAATAACAAATGCTACAGGCCCCGCACTAGCTTAATCCGGCACTGGCCTGGGGTGCAGCACCCTACCTCACTGCACCAGACATAATTGAAGAAGCAGGCAGGGTGATTGATGATCCAGCACTCACTGATTCACTCCAGTCAAATTTTGACTTAACTTTCGTGACTGCAGGAATTCATATTATTGGTTCTTTCGGTAAAGTCAAGTAAATATAAAAAAAATTCAACGTCTGTTTGCACAGCTCTTTCTGCCGCCCACTCACTTTGGAACCCTTATAAGCAGCTACATTTGGAGGCTTGCCCCCTCTTTTATCTCTGCCTGATGAAGACCGCTTGTGTTGCGATCGAAACGTCGTGGGTTTTTTGCTTTTATTATTTTAAATTGTAATAAAAAAATATATTTACGTGACTTTACCAAAAGAACCAAGAATATCACTCCAATCACTCGCTCGTCGGCGGTCAGTCGCCTCCTTATCACTCTTCCTTCGCTACTATTACCATGGTCGCTGTTATCGTGAACTTCACTCTTTGATCCTCCTGCCCATGTTGAGGACTTGGTCTACAGCCGCTGTGTTCAACCACCACACTGCAGGCCACAACACTTCTCTTTCGGCATCTTCCCTCCAACTGCTCCTCTTCTTCCAAAGCAATTTTTTGTTTAATTAAACATACAAATGTAGAGCACACCGCAAGCGGCACAACCGGAGAATGATGCAAACAAAACAAAATACATTCCAGAAAATTGTGTCAGTGTCAATATAAGATGAATCCGGAGATGGTGAGTATATGCCGCTTCTCTTGGGAATTTAATTTCCATCTTCTCTTTTCGCAAGCTCTGATAATATCCTTGCTCAATTCAAGTAGGCGTCTTCACTCTGTACCTTTTACAACGTTGTTGGTGCTGTTTGCTGCTGGCTGATTCATGTTTTCGTCCATTGAGCCTGTGCTCGGTATCTGTGTAAAACAAACGACCCGTATTTACACTTCTTCCACGCGTATGTGAGTTTGTGGATGGGGGAGCAGTAGTGTAATGGTTAGTGCTTCACTGCGCTATGAACCCAGCCACCTGGGTTCGCTTCCCGCTCATGGCCAACACCAGTTGACGATTACCTGTTAATCGGCCATGGGCCTCCCCTAGGTCGACTCAGCCTCAAATGAGCATCCTCTGCAGTGTGTAAACATCGCCACTGGGGAGATAAAGGCGGCCAGGCGTGATGTTGGCCGCTCACCCCCTCGTGCGCAGCCTTCAGAGGTGCTTGCTAACAACACTTGCCCCAACAATCTGTTAGAGGCTAAACGGGGGAATCTTTTGTCTTTGTGTGCCCAAAAGGCCTGTCAAGTCCACACGGGGCGGGGGGGGTAGGGGGATTCTTCGTCTCGTCCACTACCATCCCTTGCTTTGTGTTTTCCACAGATGTAGACGAGTGTACAGAGAGCAGCCCTTGCGCCCAGCGATGCCTCAACACTCCTGGCTCCTTCCTGTGCCGCTGCGAGCGCGGCTACCTGCTCGAGAGGGACGGACGCACGTGCCGAGGTGAGTCCGCGCCATGCAATCTCCTGCTGCTCAGATGAGCGTTGAAACAGGGTGGGGGTGGGGGGGTGCTGCGGGGTGGGGGGGCATCTCCCGTTCACAGCCCCGAGCCACTGCTGGTAACTCCACACTCTACAAAGTGGTGCTCGTTTTATTGACCCCACACAGGACGATGGGCCAAGTCACCCGCCAACCGGGATGTAAACTCGCAAATTCTGATCGCAAGCCGGTCCCTCTACCGCTGAGCCACCTGACTGGGCTGTAGGGTCCGGTGCAAAGTCACTGCATATGTTAGAGAACATATGCAGGTTAATGGCATCATTCAAACTGTAAGTGGGGTTGGACAGAATACGCCGCAAGCAGCGATGACAGCTAATGGTCACCAATAGTGATGCAATGTCGGCCAAGGAATGGAACTCATCAGAGATCACGTGACCTGCAGAGATGGAGCAATGAAATCAGTTCTTGTGTAGGCTCTTGGTAGATTATTACATCGCAGGATCATGAGAGCTGGCAGCGGCTTCGGGAGGCCTTCATTCAGCAGTGGATTGACTGCAGTTAATGATGATGATGAACCAATTGGTAAGATAATAGCTGTTTTGCAATACATTTGTAGTGCTAATACTTACGTGATCTGGGGGTAGAAATACCCACGGGAACCCAGGTTACTGTTAAAGATGACATCACAAAGGAAAGTAAAGAGAAGGCAGGGCGTGAGAGAGGGAACGCCGAGGGAGAGAGTGGTGACGTCACCGAACGAGGCGGGGCGATCGGGGGAGCTTCCTGGTGGGTTTCGGAGTGGTCGCACGCGGCGTGAGCTCGTGCAGAAAATAAAGAAGAGTTGTGTCGTCTAAATCTTCGTCTGGTAGACTCATTACATATTTAAATGCAAAGTGAAAGGGGTGTACTCACATACCACTGGGCCTAATTAGCAGTACAATGAGAGTGAATACTTTTGTAAAGTGTGCATTCTTAGCAAATGGTGTCTACAACCTATACATTCATCTCAGAATAAGTTGGTGTCGTGTGAACACGGGTGTTGGGGAAACCAATGTGGCCAGACAAATTGCTGGCCACCACTGCCAAATGCCCTCTCTTGTGTGCAAGTACGTGTGTGGTGAGATGTTAACTAACTCGCCTGATATGCAGGAGGTTGTGGGTTTGATCACGACCCCAACGCCTGTATATTTAGAGTTTGCGTGTCACTCCCCCCGTGGTTGCGTGGGTTTTTCTCTGGGTCCTCCGTTTTTTCCCTCCACATTTATAAACACGCGTTTAGAGTATTTGGCTGCTAGAAATTTCCATGTGATAACCCACTTTATTGAGCTATCATTTGTGGCCAGGTCGCTTCTGAAAAAGAGCTTCATAGCTCAGTGGAGCTTACCTGGTAAAATTCTAAGTTTCGTTTCGTATGGGGGTCGGTAGTGCTATGGTTAGCGTGCTGCGCTACGAACCCGGCAACCCGAGTTCGATTCCCGCTTCAGGCCAACACCAGTGATGATTATCTGAACCAGTCCTGGGCCTTCCCCTAGGTCGACTCAGCCTGAAATGAGTACCTGGTGCAGTGTGTAAACATCTAGCACTGGGGAAGACAAAGGTGGCCGGGCATGATATTTGCCACGGCATTCACTCATGTTCCGTGCTGGCCTCAATAGGTTGCTGCTCGCTAACAGAACTTGCCCCCTGACGGTCTGCTAAGTGGGGATCCGTTATCTTCATGTTGCAGACATCGATGAATGCAGTGCACCTGTGCCCGTTTGTCGCTTCTCGTGCCAAAACATCCCCGGGAGCTACGAGTGCCAATGCCCGGAGGGTTACGAAGCTAGCGAGGGCCGCTGTACAGGTAACCGCATCACTACTCGCCTTGTCCACTTTTGGCGAAGTACCAATCAATGTGATCGCCATTCATAACTGATTCTTCTCAGGTTAGGCCACGGTCGTGATCTGGCCACGTCTTTTGTCGTAAAATCCCTCCCATATTACTCGGTATCACCATTTTTTTCACTTCGCATCGATTTAATTTGCTGGGCTCTTGTCGGGTATAGTTTTCATGAAATGCGTGTCGCTTTGCTCCACAGTGGATGCTAGCGACGATTCCCTGGCATGCGGACAGAGTTGGCCAATGCGTGCCAGCATCGCGGTCCAAATTTGCCTCATTTGAAGAAAAAATACTCAGTTGGAATTACACAAACCAGCAAACATCGCCCCCTCTGTTGGCAGACCGATGCTCGCTTGCAAACCAGGTGCTGAGTTATCACGTGCTGCAAAGGGACGGCTGCCACATGTTTGAGATGAGATTCGAATAGTGCAAGTCGCCCATCCCGTGTGAAGTGCTCTGAGACAGCCCCTGCCTAAAAGGGGGCTGTAATTGTAAAACATTTTTTGATTTGTCGTGTTGACAGTCGTCTGATACTAAGGTATCTTATCAGACAAAAATCGATTATTTTAGTGTTCTGTATATTGCCCTGAATAATTCCAAACAAAGCATGTGTTTTGTCATTCACACAGACAACGATATATATTTGGATAACACTGACTGAAAATATTTCTAAAACATAAACATATCATTATTTTTGGGGATTGGTCTTCTTTAAAGAAAAATATTTGGTAAGATTTCAGGAGAATTTCTGCTCAAAGGAGCATTGAGGCGGTGCCCATTTACAGGCCTGAGCCAGTGATATACATTCCACATTCCTATGGTGGGGGCGAGTCTCTTACTCAGAAATTGCTGCTGATTTTATCGACGCCTGGGGGGATGATGGAGTTGAACTTGCAACCTTCCCGATTTGCGAGCCGCTCGCTCCACCACAGAGCCCCCTGAGCGGTTACGAGAAAACAAAGCATTGTAAATTAATTCTTAAAACGACAAAGTGTTAACTTTATGACGCTGAAATTGCGTGGAACACCACCGCCTCCTTCCCGCGCTAACGCTCCACTTCCTCCTCCTCCTCCGCTGGCGCTTGCGCAGACATCGACGAGTGCGACTTAGGAGTGCACGGCTGCACGGACTCGCAGAGCTGCTTCAACACGCCGGGCTCCATGCGCTGCCTGCAGCGGGACAAGTGCACGCAGCCGTACTCGCAGACGTCCGACGAGTCAGTGTCCCTGCAACTCGCGCCCTGACACCTCCTCCCCCCCCCCCCCGCGCGTCCGTGGCAGGGCACGCGGTGCAATAGCGGTCTGTGCTTGCCCACGTCGGGCTGCTGGACTTGCTCCGATTGCATTGTGGTAATGACGCGGGGTTGCTATCCCGTTGAAAATGTCTCACCTGTGTTTAAAGTCGCGTCAGGTTACGGTGATTTCCTGCTCAATTGAGTGTTCCGACGTGCAGGTGCTCGTTTCTCCTGTCTGCAGTCCTGAGCCCAGTGGTGGACATTCCTCATTCCTATGGCAGGGCGCGAGTCCATCCATAGGACAACTGTAGTGAGTTCAACTAAGTCGCAGACGTACTCTTGGAGGCAACACATTTATTTAACACCAACACACGGGGTAACTGCCCCTTAACAGAATAACAACCTAAGATGGTGACCACCAGGCTAACTACACTAATTACAACGTAACTAGCTACTATGGACCAGACCACAGCTCGGGTCCAGATCTACGTGTTGGAGACTTGGTAGACCGTAGAACGTAGACAAAGGTTTCTTCAGGATGAACAACAATGCCAGTCCCTCTGGGGGACCCGGCTTATATTCTCTGCGGCGTGGTTGGCTCTGCCCTTGGCCAGGACCACCTTCCAGAATCCTCGAGCAGGATCTGGACCCAGACCACGTGACCACCCCTAGCCCCCACATGAGGCCCCTTTGTATACTTAACCGGTCATGTGTCCTCTCGGGTCAACCAGAGTGCCATGGTCTCTAATAACCTCATTCCTACAGCCGGCACTTCCACACCCTGTCCTGTAGGGCTGGCATTGCACGCCGAGCGTGGTGCCATCCAGCGCTATCAATCAGCGCTGACCGAGCCCCTCTAGGGCCGGTACTACACCCACACCATAGTGGTATCCGCGTTGTCGGTACACAATCACTGTTGATTTCCCCACACAGTGCTCATTTTATCGACTTTGTAGGGATGATGGGTGGTCAACTCCCAATCAGGATTTGAACTCGCAAGCTTCTGATTGTGAGTCGCTCGCTGAGCCACCTGGCCGGTATCGTCAAAATCCAATTCATTACACTCCTGTACGTCGGCGTGTGCGCATGTGTGTGTGCGTGCAAGTGTGCGTGTGAGCATGTATGCACGTGCGTGTGTGGATTTGCTCAACCTCTTCCCAAATTTCCTTGCTGCGCGATCGCAGCACGTGCGTGTGCCCGCGCGACCTGGCCGCGTGCCGGAACCGACCGTACATGGTGCGCTACCGCTACGCCGTGCTGTCCCCGGACCGGAGGCCCCAGTCCACCGTGTACCACGTGCACGCCGCCACCCGCTACCCGGGGGCACGCAACTCCTTCCACCTGCACGACACGCCCGGCAGCGACGGCGCGTACTTCTCACTCCGGGTATGTATGCACTCGGTGCACTCGGCCCCCCAGTGGGCACGGCCATTGATGCGTGTATGTGTGAATGCGTGTGTGGTGCGTGAGTGCGTGTGTGGTGCATGCGTGAGTGTGTGTGTGAGTGCGTGTGTGGTGCGTGAATGCGTGTGTGGTGCGTGCGTGCATTGTGCCCACTGCAGGGTGTAGTGGCACAGCGATTATCGCGCTTCGCTACAAACCCGGCGACCCGAGTTTGATACACTGCTCATGATCAACATCGATGACGAATGTGTCAAGTGGTCCTGCGCCTCCCCTAGGTCGACTCAGCCTCAAATGAGTACCTGGTGCAGTGTGTAAACCTCAGCACCGGGGAGACAATGATGGCCAGGCATGATATTCGCCACAGCACCCACTCATGTTATGTACTGGCCTGAATAGGTGCTACTCGCAAATCGAATTTGCCCCCAACAGTTTGACTCAGTCTTAAATGAATAACTTGTGCAGTGTGTGGCAACACAACCCTCCTCATGTGCCGCACCGGCCTTAATCGGCACTTTCCCCAACAGCCCATGTAGGCTACATGGGGGATCTCTATCTTCATATGTGCGTGTGTGTGTGTGTGTTCGCCGGTTGGAAACATTTAGGCTGGCCTGCTTACGATCCATCCTGGGTTTAACCAGGCTGGATTGTGTGAGGAGCTCAAAAATCCTTGAAAGATCTGGGCAAAGTCCCATCGGTGAGCTCCTCCGGCAGGCAAGGCTGCGTTGGCTGGGTCATGTAGCCCGCATGCCCAGCCACCGCATGCCTAAACAGCTTTTGTTCGGCCGGATCGAGGGGGCTAAACAGGTTAGAGAAGAGATGGAGTGATGTGGTACAGGAAGACGTGGAGCTGAGTGGACTTGCCGATGACTGGTACCAGCGGTGTCAAGATTGGCCTCAGTGGAGGAGGCTTGTGAAGGACGCTACTGGGCAGTTGGAGGCAGTCGCCCTCCAGCAACAACGGAGGGCAGAGGAGCGTCGCTCACAACAACGAGCGGAGCGCCGGGTGGCTAAAGCACAGCAAGTTGGTACAGTAGGGGGCAAAGGTGGTGCATCAGCCAGTCATCTCGGTCATCTCGGTCAGTCGACCAGTGGCACCTGCTGGGTCTGCCCCGTGACCTCCTGCTAGTGGGCGTTCGACACTTCACGTGGCCTCAAGGTGCACTTGGCCTGGCACAAGCGTCGTGGTGACGTCACCGCCACTTAGTGGCGAATGGCGGTTGTGTGTGTGTGTGCGCGCGAGCAGCAGACGGGCCCGTACAGCGCCGTGCTCACGCTGCTGCGCTCCTTGAGTGGCCCGCGCGACATCATCCTGGACGTGGAGATGGTGAGCGTGCAGCCGTACGTGCGCAGCGGCAGCAGCAGCAGCGTGCTCCGCCTCACGCTGTTTGTGACGGCGCAGCCCTTCTGAGCGGCGCCCGTGACCGCACCGCGGTGACGGCGCACCGCCCCGCGCGCCACGTTTCCCAACATAATCACAGCGATGGTCCGTGGCATCGCTTGCTCATTACGCTTGGTCCTACAAGGCTGCGTCTAACCGCAATGTATCGTTTATACAGTTACTGGAATATGCACCGTGCCACACCACACCGTGCTATGCTCTACCAATCCACACAACACACCGCGTTAAAATCTCCTTAACCACACACCACACCGCACTACACTCTACTAAACCACACACCACACCGCGCTACGCTCTACTAAACCACACACCACACTATGCTCTACTAATCCACATACCACGACGTGCTATGCTCCACTAAACCACACACCACACCGCGCTACGCTCCACTAAACCACACCCCACACCGCGCTACACTCCACTAAACCACACACCGCGCTACGCTCCACTAAACCACACACCACACCGCGCTACGCTCTACTAAACCACACACCACACCGCGCTACACTCTACTCAACTAGACACCACACCACACTACGCTCTGCTAAACCACAAACCACACCACATGAAGCCACGTACTGACGTACAAAGGAATACAACGCCACGTGATGCCACGTCACACCACTTTACATTCAACCACTGTAGGCACACTGCAATGTAACCATTCCGCACCAAACCAGGGTGGCAGGGTGGCACAGTGGTAACACCCTTTTCTCGCGGCATGAAGGGCCTGACACGTTTTCTGCGTAAAGTTTGTTTGTTCTCCTCCCATTCTGCTGCATGGCTTTCCTCCGGGCTCTCCCGTTTCCTCCCATAGTTACAAAAACATACCCTACACAATGTCACCGTTATTGGCCAATCACATTCCCAATGCTGAAGAATTACCTGCGAATTACTCGATTGGGATCACGCAGCGGCGACATCGCCCCCCTACTGCAAAAAAACCTGACAGGAACCACCTCCTGTTGAGAAATATATATTGAGAATACATGGTAGAAGATGTGACATCTACTTAGAATAACCTGAAAGATTAGCAGTGTCAGATTTCCTGTTTGGGGCAGGCGGGAGGGCATAAAGGTCAAATAATGCCCGTGACCGACGCAGCATGTCCTGGTGTCAAGGGGCCCGCTGCTGGCAACACACACGGCACATGAAGACAGAGATTCCCCGTATAGCTTTTAAGGCTGTTAGGGTAAGTGTTATTAGCGAGCACCTATAAAGGCCGGCGCAGTACACAAGGGGGTGGGTGGCCAACACCACGCCCGGCCGCCTTTGGCTCCCCAGTGGCGATGTTTTTACACACTCATTTGAGGCTGAGTCGACCGAGGTGAGGAGGTCCAGGACTGGTTAAGATAATCGTCACTGGTGTTGGCTCTGAGCGGGAATCGAACTCGGTTAGCCGAGTTCATAGTGTAGTGTGCTAACCGCTACACCACCGCTCCCCACACAGTACACCAGCGCATCACCAATCGGTAGAGCGAACCACACCGACGCACGCGTCCTCCAGCGCATTGCCGCCGATTCAGCGTGTCAGAGAAAACCTGCGGCTATTTACAGGATCACATTTTAAAGCTTCGTTTAATTATATCCAACTGCAAAAATTTGGTTGTGAGAATTGTTCAACTTTTTCGTGAGGCGAGGAAATAATATTTGGCGGCACATTAAATGCGTGTACTCTTGACAATTTACTTTTTTGGCTGTGCCTGGTGGTGGTGGCCAGATCATTACGTGACCTACCCAGGACCAAAACTGCGAGCCGTGAGAAACATTTTTTTTCAAAGAAGTGGCGAGGTGTGAAACCAGTTTGCGAAGAGAACTCTGCCGTTGGAAAGAGGACATTGAAGCGCTGAATCCTACCCAGTGACCGGCAAAATAAGATTTATCACTAAATGACAACTGACACCGTGCACATACAATAAATAGTAAAGTTTTTCCATTCCACCATTTCATGTAATCGAGTGTCTTTTATTTCAGTTCTGCACGTGAATTCACTCCTGCATCCTTTGTGCTCTTGAGATATGCATAGCATGTGATTCTGACGTCTATCTCCCTTAATCAACCCTCCATATTACATCTTTATCAGACCACTAAGTCTCATGATCTGCCTCATCACATTTCCTCACTAAATTTCACAGTTACCTTCCAGTCACTTGTCATCTGCTCATTTGATAACCGATTCTCGCGTGTTTCTATCCAGCTTATACTTTCCTCTCCCCAGGACGACAACTCAAACGCTCAGATTCTTGATTTTCCTGCTTGCAAAGTGCTCACATCGCCAACAAACGAAGAACAGCACTCCCAAATTAAAATTTTCTTCCGAGATCTTTATTCCATTCATAAAACACGATTTGTACTGGGGCGGTTATTGTCCTGAGGTCCTCTGCACGCTGACCATGCGTTCATCACTGACCATACGTTCATTGATATAAGCAGTAGAACGAATTCAAAGAACTGCTGTGTTTTCGCGGTTAGTCAATTGTCCATGCAACGGAGGATGGCTGTCTTCTCAAACTGGATTCAAGCCTTATCATGCAGCAATGCAGCCTGACCTGCATAATCATACGACACATTGCAGCTACATTTCTATAATCTTGTGAACATCATGCTAAACGAGAGCAACGCTATGTACGGAAGGAACATAGTCATTCTCAAGTGTAATTTTCTTGAAATGTTTGTTTTACCCATTGTATTAATTATACCTCCAGTATAAAGTGACGGTTATACTAACAAAAATACCCCTCCCCCTTCAAATAAAAAAAATGCTCTTTAAATGCTAAAACCAGTGATATTAATACAAACAATCTCCAGCAGATCATTTCATTTTTAAAATGTTAGTATTTTTTTGAGTGAGAGCCCATAGATATAAATGTGTTGTAAAAACCCGCCACCAACCGACACAGCCAGTTAGTAAGGTTTGTCACGTAAACAAAACGTGCCACTTAGTTCCTAGTTCAGCACACCGGTTGAGTGTTGGAGAGTAAACCCACTAAAACATTTACAATTCTAGTACCGTGACATTTCGCCGGTAATTACAACAACCAGCAGCATCATCAGGCAAGAGCCAGAATTGTGGAGAAATCCTTCCTTCTGTTTCAGTCACTTGTGAGCCAATGAGGTGTGAAGAACAGAGGGGAGGGGGAGTTAATATATTCATATAAATTATAAACCCAAAAGCTAACCCAAAAAACCACTATGGATATTATTGGTCGCGAAAGCCTAAGTGTTTAAATGTTAGGATGGCTGCACGCGTTCCTAATTTTCAATCAGAATCAGGAGTGTATTTCCCACTGAGTAAAGCCCGTAGAGCTAAAAAGCTATTTTTAAAGGGCGACTCGGCCAGCAGAAAAAAAACAACGCATTCCACAATTACGGATTTAAAAAAAAATTTAATAAAAGTTATTCTGTTGTAAAATCTACCTTCACACTTAAACAACAGAATGAGTCGCTAGGGCGGCTCGGCAGTCTGCAGCGTGCCAGAGCCGTGACCCCATGGCACGAACGGCTCAGGAGCAATGCGGCTCGGCTTTGTTTTTCCCGAGCGAAGCGGCACAGAACCGCGCCACGCACTGTGATGCCACAGCGGCAAAGCCGCTCTGCCGGCGCCGCACCCGCGATGCCCACACCACCGAGCGGCCTGGCCGACGCTGCTCTTCCCTCACCACCCCCCACACGAACACCCGCACCCCCCCCCACATAGAGCCTCGCGGGGAAGTCGCCTGGCCCACAGTTTTTCACTCAGGAGCCCTCCTCGTGGGGGGACATTCTCCACGGTTTTTCCTGAGGCCAGGGAATTGACCGGGGTTTCCTCCAGGTAAAATTGCGCTGCGGCGCCGTGAATTAACGTGGAGTTACACGGTCACGGCGAGGCTACACAGCCCCCGCGGTTAAGACACCCACAACACAGACGAGTTAGCAGGCAGGTAGGGGGCAGAGCCACGAACGGCGGGAAACCAGGGTGGGCGTCTGATTGGCAGGACAAATGTGCTTGTGTACCAAAGCAGCAGCCCAGCGGCCGTCCCTTTGATATGGAAATTGGGATGCGGACGGCGCTGAGAGCACCGATGCAAGAGATAAGGCTCTGCGGGAGGAGCCAGAGCAATCTAATTAGCCGGGAAGACCATCGGGTCAGCGCCAGGTTTTCTTTGATGTAAAGAACAATAAAAGGCGAGGGAAGGTATAGATAGAGTTAGTTCGTGTCCAGCACAAGTCAGCGATGGGTCGACTCTCCAGCCACTCGAACGTCCGTGTGACGAGTCGCAGTGCAGCAAGGACTGGCCCGCAGGAGCTCCGTACGAATCAAACTGTGAGTACGAGAGAGAGGTAGAGTACAGCGTGATAATTCCTCGAGAGGATGTCTAAAAAGGCGGGGAAAATTGGGTTTAGACCGTCGTGAACAGGCTAGTAACCCCACTGATTTTGTTAGGGCCACTGGTCCCCGAAGTCCCTCCCTGCTCCGTGCCTATGGCAGGGGCTCTGCTGTTCGTCGACCCCTCGCTACTCTGCGAGCAGCTGCTGCCATCGCTGGGCTCATCGCCCGACGGCTCCCCTCCCTTGTCCGTCCCTCCCCGAGCTCGTGTGAGAGGCATAGCTCGCCACACGCTCTCGTTCACCTGTAAACGCTGCGTTGTCTCTCCATGAATCACGCGCTATTAAACGGGGGTCAGGGGTCGGAGGGCGAATGACGCTGCCCTCACCCTGCGCGAGTCCCTGCGTGATAGACGGAGCTGGTACCTGTGGGCGCACCGAACCCTTTCACCACGCTACGAGCGCACACACCTGCGCACACGCGATACCCACTCGTGCGCCGCTCTACGCAGTGCTCCCACGTGACGAGCCGCTGTGTACACAGCTCCACACGTGACACACTGCTCAACAAGATCACACGAGGCCACGCTTCGCTATTAATGATTTATTATATGCTACCTGCGAATTGATGTTAAATCAGTGAGTCGACGAGGCTGGCCTATCCTACTTCCCCTGGACCTATTCCCTATTTATCGGCTTATGATACCCTGTCACCTTGCTACTCACGGGTCGAAGTATTCGGCGTCCTGTGGGTTTCCTCTATGCCGTCCGGGCACGTCACACGGACGTCCGGAGGGCAGAGCTGGGAGCCGACTTGAACGCGTGCCTCTTGACGAGAAGTGAAGAGACTCCCTACCTTGCTACGCTCCTTTTTATCCTAATTCCCGGACTCGGGCCCCTACCCCCTTCCCACGTACCGTGCGCCTTCGATATGCTAATCGGATGTGCCGCAAGTGCGGCGTTCCGCAAGTTAATTCCTTTCTCACGCATGCCTTTGTTATTGCAGATTATGCGGCGGCGTCCATTACAAAGGTGCGCCGTGGGAATTTGTGCACGGCTCCCCGCGTGCGTCCGCCCTCCCGATTATTCATACCTTCAGCTCAATCATTTACCCACCCCAACAATTGTGCCTGCGCGCTCAAGCGCAACCATCCTAACCTTCCGTGACTATGCGCAAGAGCCCCTGCGGTCCTGCTACTCATGCTGTCCCGTTCTTCCCCTGCTGGCCTCGTCGACGCGTGGGGGGGGGGGGGGGGGTGTGGGGGGGGGATGCGTTTCAACCGTGGTGGCCGAATGCCCTTCGCCGCGGCCACACCATATTAAGGCCGGTCGCAGCGCCGCGGTGCAACGTAGCGTCGGGGGAGGTCATCCAATTCCCTGATCGCCGGAAACCGTGAGAGTTAATCCCGATAAGGGTTTCTCGGATAAAAACCGGTCGATCAGGTGTCCTCCCCTTCTAGCTCTATGGGGGGGGGAGGAATGCGTGCGGGTGTGTTCATGTGAGGTGAGGTGAGGGGGACGAGGGGTTGGCTCCGTTGCTTGGTGGTGGCGAGGTCGGGGATGGGACGCCTGCCGAACGGCTTCGTGGCGGCGGCATCACAATTTCGGCTTCAGGCTCCGGAATATTCAGTATCAGGTGCGCGGGGAATAAACCATTAGTAATCAATAAATAGTTTCGTGTGGTTTCTGCGAGTGTGGGGTGAGTGCGTGGAGGCGTATGCTCGTTGTAACGCGGAGATTGGCGTATGTATAACTGTATCGGGGCGATCATTGCGCAAGAGTCCTACGCGCGCATCCAGTCGAGTACCGCGACCGTTGTGCCCGAGTCTGGTGCGCGAATCCTGTCGCTAGTTACTCATCATTGCGCGGAGGAGCCAGAGGACGATTAGCGTGCTTCGTTAATTTCCCAGCATACAGCAACACTCGTTCGAAAACTAATCCCGAATACCCGCCCCACGGCCCATTAAATAACCTTCATTACCCACCTTCGGCAGCCACGTGTGCAAGTGACGTCACTGCCCTTTGACCCCTGACCCCCTGTTCCGCGCGTGTGATTGGTGCGCGTGGTTGTGTGAGCAGAGACGTCGCGTTTGAGTGGCAGAGGAGCAAAGGATTAATTCCAGGCAGCCGAGCGCCAGTCGCCGAGTTATGCCCCACAAACCGGACTCGGAGACGGTGGGGTCGCGGACTCGAGGGGCCGCGGCGCGAGGAGAGGAATCAGGGATCAGCTGCTCTTACACGAGTGAGGAGTCAGGAGACAGCAGCCCTCCTGAGATCAACCCTCCCCCGGGGGGGGGGGGGGGGGGTGGGGAGCCGGGGGCCAGCGTTCCCCACAGCACTTTTCCCACTTCACTTTCTTTCGTGCCAGGTGTTGCGCTGTTTTCCCAAGACACACACTGCACTCCAGAGCAGTGCTAATTTAAGTATTTAAATTGTACCATAGTGTGTGTATTAAAAGTGAATATTGTTTAACATTAGACGTGCAATTTTATATTTAAATGTATAGAAAAGTTGTTTGGGGGCTACTGCCCCCGATTCCTCTCTGTGAGACATAACTCTCGGCTGGCCCTTAGCCACTTTGTCCATTCGAACCCCCTCCGCGTGCCTTCCCTCACACATTGGTAATAACTACCCGCACGCTACTGCTCACCTCCGAGCACGCTCTATAAATCGCATGGCCGCTGAGGGTCGGAGGTCGGAGGGCAGTGGCGTTGCTCGCACACGCGCGGCCGCCGTGAGCGGGTGATAACGCTCGTTTAAAGGGGCTGTGGAACAGGTGTTTGCGGTGGGTGTGAGCCCTCACGCAGCACGCGTCTCAACACCGACCACCCTCGTTACGAGCGCACACCCGTGGAGCACTGACTACACACGATATGAGCGTACTTACACACAGCACCACACGCTTGCACTCGCTCGTCCAAACCACACAAGGCTGCGATGTGTTATTAATGATATATTATTGGCCGACTGTGATTTACTGTTGGGTCAGTATGTTTCGGCAAGGCAGGCCTACACTATCGCCCAAGGGTCTGTACCCGA